TTTTTAGAATATCTATTCTTCTATATACATAAAAATGAAACCCGTTTCCCGTTGTCACGCCATAACTTGAGAACGGCTACACCGATTTGGCAGATTTTTTTATTGTATTGGTTATCGTCAGGAGATGGTTCTTATGACAGAAAAAAGTCCTGTAAATCCTACGGGAATGGGAGAAACGGGATTGCGCGTACGAAGTTGGGGACAGGATCTAGTACTTTATAGAATAACCATTATTACCTTCTAAACTAGAGGAATCTAATCCCAAGTGATAAAAAGTGGAGGCAATTAAAACCCTATCTTCATCTCTGAAGAGTTCTTAGCTATTACTAAAACTATCAATAAGACTATTTATTATGACTTCATTATGAAAAATCTACATGATTTACCTGACAACACCCTTAACAAACCAGTTAATATAATTCCAGACCCAAATTACACCCTTTCAAAGACTAAAATCGATTCTCAAACTTTACACTCGCATTTATAACTACTCAATCAATCGACATAGTCAATTAGATAGTCATCAATAACAATTTCACATAAATCGTAGATAGTGATCTGTCGGCGTGAAGCGGAGCGGCCTTGACCGTAGCCATTACTTGTTAGGTTGTTACATTCATATTATTATTTATTATTATTTATATTTATGTAACGATATAGTGCTGTGAAACTGTGGGTTTGTGTATTAAAAATTATCAGTTAGCCACGTTTCTATGTCTAAAAACTAAACTAACTTTGGTGAGAGAATAATTGGAATGGAGAATGAGATGGAGAAATAGATGGAATCAGGAATTTATTGTGTTTCATCATACCATAACATAACATCACGCCTTTTATCCCCGAAGGGGTAGGCAGAGGTGCACATTATGCCACTGTACAATGTAACAGTCACCCACGTTTCACTATTTATGTTATGAGTCCCATGTACTAGGGGGTGAGCCTATTGCCATATACCGGGCACATTTCCAGACTCCGTGCTACTACTGAGAATTTTTAAAAAACCCAGTAATACTTTGCCCGACCCGGGAATCGAACCCGATACCCCTTGCCCGGCAGTCGCACTTGCGACCACTCGGCCAACGAGGCAGTCTTTCATCATAACAGAGACAAAAGCCTGGAAATATGTCTGCTTATAATAATTTATTAATATCAAAATGATGTCTAAATAAATGAATTTTGAATTTATAATAACCATAAAACTATAAAATTCTATTAACACAAAAAGTCCTTGGTGACTAGAACATTGCAACATCCAAAAATGTTGTCATGGAAAAATGCATTTTAATTAATTTGTTCATCCCACTAATTACGCGTTAATTCTTCAACATTAATATAGACTTTACTCCCCTAGAAATACAGTTCACATTACATATCACTTTCATTCTAGAAACTAGGACACGGATGCGATCTAATTTCAACTGTAGAACTTTTACAAAGAGTCGAATTTCATTCGGGTGAAAATTGGTGAAATATTCCTTACACTGTTATTACAATTTCAATCTTATAGAAGTAAACTTAGGGTTTGTTTTTGTTTGTGTTAGGTTTAAAAATAAAGCATGGTGCAGACAATTGCGCGTCTCCTCGCGGATGTGACCACTTGACGCATGGATGCGGGTCGCATTATTAAATTTTATTCGTAATATTGTTACATCGTTAAATTCTGTTCTGGTGTTAGTTATACTTAATATTATTATCTCGAATTCTGCATTCGCTAAATAACTTCATATGCTGGCTATCATTTTCTAGATAATATCTAAATATGATATCACATTATGTCAACAAAGTAACTAGGAATTGTGCCTGGTATATGGCAATAGGCTCACCCCCTATTACAATATGGGATGCATAATATAAATAGTGAAAAGTGGCTGTTACATTGTACAGTAGCATTAAGTGTCGTAATATGCACCTCAGCCTCAGTCTACCCCTTAGGGAATAAAAGGCGTGATGTTATGTTAATTAACGACTAAAGAAAAATCGAATATAAATCTAAATAAATCTCTATTCTCTTTTCCTAAATAATATTATCATAGGTAGGTACTTAGTGTCTTAGACGATATCTTTTTTCAAATTTAAATAAAGGTTAGAATCTTTTAAAAATGAAACAAGGAACAAACACCCTTTTAAATGTTTAAAATAAAACGTTTGTTTTATTTTAAACCGTTAGTTTAAGTTTTTTAAATAATAACAGTGAAATTACTTGTCTAAATAACTTAATGTGCTAAGCATAATTGTGATAATCAAGATGGCATTTGAAACTCGAAAAAAAAATGCAAATAAATCTATATTTTAAATACGTTTACATAACGATTAATTTCCAAATTCACTATCATCTATCTATAGATAAAATCTATAAATCTACAGATATTGCAAGAGATAAACAAAAAATTGATACACAAATTTACATTTAATTACATAACGCATAAACATCATATTTATTTTTATCTAACTGTTGCCAAACCAAACAGAGGAAATTAGTTTTATATTTTTAGCTTAATTTGCAAGTTTTTTAAAATTCAATGAAAGAACTGAATAATTGCATAAAAAAACAAATGACAGAACTGAGATTTGAGACCGCTTCTTTGCTAACAATTATATGTACAAGAATTTTATCATTTCTTTACACATTCAAACTGGAATATAATTCAGGCATAAAAACATAAAAATCAATAAAAAAATAAAAGTACTATATTCACAGTTCCAAATTTAAATAGTAGGTATAGGTACCTATCTTCCTTAATACAACGCTTACTAAACTAGTAAAGCAACAAGTTCACAAACTGAATCCAAAACTCCAAACTGATGTAACGTTTACCTCCTACGGTATTATGGCAGCCTGGTACATTCAGCGGTACGCTTACAACAAGCGAATCGATTCGCGGCCATCGAGATTTTGTGTTACACTTACATAATTTACATAAACGCAATATTTGGGCTTTTCGAATGTGCGAAAAATGCTATTTAGTCGATGAAACGTGAAAAAATTACAACATTTTTGGAAATATAGGTCTGTGTGAGTGTAAATATAAAAAGTAAGTCATATTTTTTTTAAATGTATATAGACTTTTTTATCAGGTAACCTTTTTTGTTTTCACTTGCCGGTCCCTTGACCTCTTCACGGGACTATTGTTGGTTTATTTTGAGTCTAATTCCAAGTTAATCGTAGGAAGAGTTCACTTACATTAATCGTACCCACGCTGGTTTGGCTTAAGCCTAAATTGCAGTGTACTTAGTAGTTCAAGCTACCATTACATCAACTAGGCTTTGGTTTAATAGTTTTCTCACCCATAAACTCTAAAACAGACAAGATTTTGGTAACAATAAAAACTGAACGATGATAAATAATTCAGATCCGAAACATAACTTTTTCCTCAAATTGTTAAGCAATAACTTATAAAAAAAATAAACACTGTGTTTAAAGAACCGACTTTAAAAAACCAAAAACTAATAACAAACAAAAACTAACGTAAATAGTATTGATAGGTTACCCATCCACTGGTAGGTTAGAAGTCGGTGCCATAACCTCATATCAAAATGATCTCAATTCAAAACCTCACTCACACGACGAAACACAACGCAAGCGTTGTTGCACGTCGGTTTTCTGTGAGGCCGTAGTATCACTCCGGTCGAGCCGGCTCATATGTGCCGAAGCATGGCTCTTCCACACATGCCAACCGTTGGCCACATCATGAATATAGCAGCCAAGCCCCCCATAACCTAAGGATATTACGTCTAGAAGACACATTGTCATTCAGTACTAATACACAAAGTACCTACTAATAATCGATACACATTTAATAAACCAAGTACGCAAATACAGAGAAATATACTAGCAAATGTAGAATTCAATTGTGATCGAAAATCGTGACTACACTGCTGGTCTAATTACCATTAAACAGAGGTATAGGAAGCCCGGGCATATGGGTCGGAGTTATTGCGAAAACCACGCTGGACCTATGCTTTGGGCGACTAAAATGTGTATTTATTCTGTTGTAATAACAACTGTGACTGCCTCATTGGCCGAGTGGTCGCAAGTACGACTGCCGGGCAAGGGGTCTCGGGTTCGATTCCCGGGTCGGGCAAAGTATTAATGGGTTTTTCATAAAATTCACAGTAGTAGCACGGAGTCTGGAATTGTGCCCGGTATATGGCAATAGGCTCACCCCCTATTACATGGGACTCATAACATAAATAGTGAAAAAGTGGGTGTTACATTGTACAGTGGCATAATGTACACCAGTACCTACACCTCTGCCTACCCCTTCGGGGATAAAAGGCGTGATGTTATGTTATGTTATGTTATGTGTAATAACAAGTTAGAAAATCATAATTTACAATTAGTATCAAAACAATTTGTAAAACGTAGTTAGGTATTGGTTGGGTGTACTATGACATGCAAAAACCTTTTATTTTTATACAAACATCAAAAACAAACAGGAATCTAATTAAAGAATAACAGTTACCTTATAATAGGTATATTAAAATAATATTAATAATAAATATTGTTGTTCTGTATTTTCCTCATCAGTAAACATTGTTTTATCTTTAGAAAGATCTTAATTATATAAGTAGCCGTTCATTTGTTTTTGTTTGGATTTTCTACGTTTTCTAAAAGTCGATGTAAGTTTGATAAATTTTTAAAATTGCATTACAATGTAGCGTAATGTCTTGGGCATTCAGAGCATTGGGGTGTATTATTCATATAAATGAGCACAGTTTATCACGAGCACTCGGTACTTTATCACGAATGAGGAAGTAGCACCGTTGTTTTATGAATTACATTTAGAATTTTTGAGACAATACATTCGTGTTTTTAATTTCGTTTTGGAATTTCTAACAATATAAATTTTCTTTACCAGACTTATAAACCACCATTTAAACATCTTGAAAACGCTCTTCAGTAAACAATTTATTTTTTTTAAATAAATGTCAAAAAAGTACGAAAAAATATCCACCTCTAGAGTCTTTGCAAATTTAGTCGGGAAGATAACAATATCGAAATGGTTAAGCGTCATTTTAGCACTCCGACCGCATAGTCTACATTTTATCCCATAGACTGGACACTTATGTAACCCAATGCAGATCCAAATCTGTTTTATAGTAGCTGTTCGTATTGCGCTATGAGAATCTTATTGAATCACACTGTGTACCTTGATTTATTGAAGTTAGGTAATTTAGGTTAAGCTGCTTTCACTGAGGTATAGAATTTGATGGGTTCTCCATTCGTTATTTAGTCGCAATTTCAATTGTCTTGTGTACGGGTTCCAGTTTAATCGTCCAGGGTGGTAGATGGTAAATAGATTGGCTGTAGATCTTTGAATTTTGACTGGCTTTGAAAACTTCGATCTTTTCATCATTATCATTATAATTGGTCAGAATATTGAGGTTTTTATTATAATCATGGTGATTTGACAAACTGTTTAAGGATCAGTACAGGTATCTGAAAAATAAGAGGAAGCTATTTACCGGTTCCCAGGTCCCAATTTTTTCTTTGAGGTCCGAAATTTTCATTTCTGTCTTTCGCATGGAAACGGGAATGACCAGTGTTTTGTTGTCCTCAATGACCTCAGTTACATCTAGGACTAATAATGACTATATTAACAAGTACTGGCACCTAGGGGGAAACCGACATAATGTTACCTATTTGCAAAGAAATTAAACACATAACTTCCTACTAAGTAGACATACGAGATGTTCGTCGTAACAATTTCTTAGCTACCACGAGTACACAACATGCAATGTAAGTAAATCTCTCATAATGGCATTTTATGTAATCTTATAACGCAAATACGTATTAATGTTCATACCTCCTTCTTAAAACTCTATATAAGAAGTTTCACAGACATAAAACTGTCGTAAAAGGTATTTACAAACAGCAGATCAGACTACCCCCAATCTGTCAGCTGTTGTTTTCGGATTTTCAACTTTATTTGTTGAAGGATAACGTCGAAATTGGCTGTAGTCGATGTGACAAGCAAGATTTCATAGCTATTTAGGCTCTGACCAAAAACGGATCAAAAGGCTCAAAGCGGTAACTAGGTTTTAGCAGACAGATACAGTCTGAATTTAGAACCTTTTTAGGGCACAATGTGTGATATATATTCCTGATTTATGGTAGGTACATACGAATATAATGTATTGTGAAGCGTACATGACCGACGACGCAAACATAATTATGTCTACATACATATAAATACTCTAAAAAATGTTTGATCCGTCTTTATTCGTCGAAGCAAACGATTGTTATGGAAGGATAGATATCGCTATGGAAAAAATCCCAGTAAGAAAAATTTACGTGCGAAGAATGTGTTGTATGTATTATACTTTATTTAAGGACAGGAGCACCACCAGTTATATGCAAAAGTAATGAATGTTTCAATAAGCCATAAGACACAATTTCAAACCTCATATTGTACCTTAAAAAATTTAATAGTACCTAGGAACTCAATCTAACATGTTCCTCAAATCCCTCAATTCCAATTAATCCACATACAAGCAGAATGCCGGAATTGGTATCAAACGCATACATAATCAGAATGCAGGAAGCCTTACTCTTACACAATTCGGTTTGGTAGCCCTAGTTCGACATTGTTTTACCAGGCCTTATGTAACAGTGTTCCTGGTCTAATGTTACTTACAACTGACACCCTTATGGAATTAAGGCTGTTATGTGAGTCTGGTTTTGAGTAACCGAAGGCTTACTGGAATTTTAGGTTCATGTTTCATGGTTACACTTACTGTTCGCGTCTTTAATGTCTTGTCATCGTGTTAAAAATTACGGTGTTGTGTGGGCATATATTATTTTTGTTCACTCACTTATTATAATTGTATGATATTCACTCTTATGATAATTATACTGTCGACTGGAATCGTAATTGGAACTCTTAAGCTTATCTGATTGCATTTAATTCATTGCATTAATAAAGTATCGTTTGATTTTTTTGAACGCATGCTTCTTGAAATCTAAGCTACAGTGTTTCCCCTATCTTATACACACATCACAATAGATCTTTTATAAATAGCCAAATGGCTACTGGGTACTATAGTAATATTGCCTCACATTTACGTCCATGTTTCCTAAAATCTTTTTTTCTATTAATTTCAGGCGCATCATGGAGCGAGGATCATCAGCTCCATGGAGCCAGATTCTTCAAGAGACAATAGGAGAAGGCAGACTGAATGGAGAGGCTCTCAGAGACTACTTCCGACCTCTAGAGGATTGGCTCAGGAGTGAGAACCTGAGGACTGGAGAGTACCTGGGCTGGAGTTATGATGGAGATTATTGCAAATTCAGGTATGAACACCAGATATACTGATTTCATACATACATACATAACATCACGCCTTTTATCCCCGAAGGGGTAGGCAGAGGTGCACATTACGGCACTTAATGCCACTGTACCTCTACAACGTAACACCCACTTTTCACTATTTATGTTATGAGTCCCATGTAATAGGGGTGAGCCTATTACCATATACCGGGCACATTTCCAGATTCCGTGCTACTACTGAGAATTTTTTTAAAACCCAGTAATACTTTGCCCGACCCGGGTATCGAACTCGAGACCCCTTGTCCGACAGTCACGCTAGCGACCACTCGGCCCGAGGCATATACTGATTTCGTTAACTGAATTTTGTAGTAGGTGACACCTACTATATTATCTCCGAGACCTATCATAATCAAAGAGTTATAGGTAACTGGAAGTTCACAGCCACGAATAAGAGAAAGTGGAAGCCTTCAGGCTTGAAGGTCTACACCAAACTGGCTGGAAACGGCTTGAGATGTTGTTATAATAACTATCGTGAGAAATACTAAATTAACTAAAAATCGCGGGTTACTCACGTGAATATACTGAGAAAAGCTCTACTAGTTTCTAACCACAGAGGGGATTCTTTCTCATGAGCAGTATGCGCGGTCGCACAGCCTACTCTGTGTAGGCTCGAAACTAAAACTCGAAACTGTTCGAAACTAGTAGAGCTTTTCTCAGTATATTCACGTAAGTAACCCGCGATTTTTTAGTTAACGACTTGAGATATTTATGATGAAGATGTTATCTTTATTCTTTCCCTCCGAGATCTTTTTCACTCACCTTTAACTATCCCATTACTATCCTAGCCATCCTACATACTAATTTAAAGATTTTTAATCAATATAACATTTTTTTAATTTTGAAAAACGTTGACTCACAATAGGGTTTTCTCCTGTGTCATGGGTGCGTTTACAAACATACAAATTCACATACACATGACACCCAGACCCAAAACAACAATTTGTGGATCACACGAAGTGTGGTTCCGCGGGAATCGAATAAAATCGAAACCGCGGCACGCTGCATGGTAGCCGGTTGCCCAGCCACCGCACTGGCCGTGCAGTCTTTTCTCTTATTTCTTCTTTTCCATTATTAAAATTATTCTTTTCTCTTCCAGTATCGAGACGGCAGGTCTTCAAGTATACGGTGGTTTCTACAACGCAGCACATCGCCATTATGACGTCACAAGTTTTATCATAATTCTAATAACCTCTGCACTAATCACCACAGTGTTCAATTTGCGTTGGCGATAAAGTATAGGACTTATAGTTTATAATAGACTTATAATATGTATAAGTACAATGGTAAAGTAAGAACGTTTTTATTACATGTGCAATAGAATTCAATTTCGTGAATTGTTTTTTTTTTCTAGTTATGTTAATTTTGTGTATTATTTTCTATTGTGTGTTTTAATTTTGTATTTAATATAATAATGGCAATTATATCTTTATCTCTCTTTCTCAGGGTTCAATAATAATTAATGAAACACGTTGTTAAATTAAGACAAAACATTAATGTAAGGAATTTATATTTTTTGTAAATAGCATAAACTAACTTGAGATTTTTAGTGTTTTATTGTGATATAAAATAAAATAAATGTAAAAATATATATTATTTTATTTATTTATTATTTAGTACCCATTTACAACATTAATAACAACACTTATATAAAATTGAAGTATACAAAGGTACCACCCACAGATATATTAAAGAAGTTTTTTTAATTTATAATCTTTTTTAATATTTCTATTGGAATATCTTTCTGTAGACCTGTGGCAGAAAAATTAAGAATGATTATCAGACACAGTATATAATAACAAATAGTAAATTGACATAGAAAACAGACTCAAATTTTTATTTTGCACCTAACAAATTACACATCAAAAGTTAGTAATGTGCCAATAAGTAATTAAATAATGTAATTAAGAACGACGTACTTTCGTGCTCAAGTTACATTTAAGTTAAGCGAAGTTATTTGATGTTCTCTAATCAAGTTACATGAGCTTGACTTAGGTAACTTCAAGGTGTAACTTTATATGTGTACTTAGCTACTTTAATTATTTAAATAAGTTTATAATGTTTAGTGCTTATTCCTTGAATATATTATGGATGTTTTTGACTGCAAAGTCAAAGTCAAAATCATTTATTTCAATTAGACCATGAAGGTACTTTTAACCGTCAACCAAAAAATTTAAAAGTGAAGCTATTTGCTAATTCCAAGGTGTAGATTCCTATGTAGAAGGACAAGCAAGAAGCTCCACTGCCTCAACCGACTGCTATGTCGTCGCGTCGCGTACCAGTTTCAAATCCCGGGTTAGGGTAAGTATTGTTGAGGATTTTTGACAATAAAAAATCAGCAAAATGACACAATACGTAGTAATTTACAAATTATACTTAAGGTACCAAAAGAAACAAAATCACAGGCACTTATATAGAAGCTATTATATTTTGTAGGTACGAGATTGCTGTTACCAGTAAATCTAATAGTTAATAAAAGTACGAAATAAAGATAACAATCAGATGTGATCTACTGCATGCGGGTCTTATACACAAAAGATAAAGTCATTAATATTTATAAATGACCTTAACAGACCCCGCACCAATTTGTCTGACTGACCCCCTTGATTTAATGACGTTATAATGATAGTTTCACTTATTTTGTGAATTAAACTGTTAGGCAGGAGAACCTGGACTTAATTTGGGTTCTATTTTTCAGTACTATTGATGTTTTTAATTTTAATATACTACTATTTTTATCATATTCTAGTATTATATATCTCATGAAATTAAATAAGTTTTCACCATAATTCTGTTTTCATTATTATGCCTTGTGGTAATCGGGTGTTTTCGACTTCGCTCGCTTCCCTGTGACATAAAAAGTAGCCTAAGTATTATATCAGACTATAATCAAAGTACTCCTTTTCTAAATTTCATCCTGATCCCACCTTACGACATGAAGGAGTAACAAATAAACAGACATAGGTACTACACTATCGCATTTATAATATTAGTAGAATGTTCACCACGGCTTATCCGTCCATCATTGTCGTTAAGCTCCTCTACTGGAGTATCCATGTCACCTCTACATAAAAGGAGCTTGGCACATTCTCTATCTACGTGTGCAGAAGATCCCACCGGGTATCGTACACCCGCAAGAAGAATGAGCTGAGCATGTGTGTGAAACTAAGATCTTATTCTAAAGCTAAAGCTTCCCAAAATCCTAACCCTTGTATAGCAACAATTTTCGTTTCATCCCTCGTATGACCTCTCAAATATTATTTACCGACGTGCCCACAATATTCGGTATTGATTTTGTCTATATTTGTACCACAGCCTGTAACACTATTTGCTTATTTCAGGGTTCTATTTTCAGGATCTAAATGGAGGTTCATTTCAAAGGTTTAGTGCTGAAAGCTGCCTTTATAATTGAAGGTTTGAAATGTTCCATGAGAGTCTATTCTGCCATTTCGCTGGTTAATTGTTCGTATGAATTCAGTTGTTTTTGCTTATGAAGCAGCTAATAATACTAGTAGAGTCAAAGAACAGAGTCTCATACTGTAAAGATTACTGCGCATTTTAACGTACTTATTAAATTTTATAGTACTCTAACATTAATATTAAGTAGCAAATATACGATTGTATAAAACTATGTTGTATTGGTAAACTGTTTTTCTAAGTTATAATGTAGACATAAAAAATATTGAAACAACATTGATTTAAAATGTGACTTCGCTGTAACCTTTTTTTACAAAAACGTGTATCTGTTTGCTGAAAAAACAAAACATACCGCCCGAAGAGAAACAAACCAAAATTGGTGGCCATTTGTGAAATCCTAATGTTTCCTTGAAATCCCTTTGAACTAAGATCATGTTTGTTTACACGAAATAGGTACACGTTTTTTCCACAAACTTAAGACTTGCCAAAGTAAATGGCTACTTCCTTGACTTTCTACACGCCTAGTACAAAGACTCAGAATCATGTTTAATTTTGAACCTTAAATGTTCGTTCTGTATTCATTAATTTTGTCTTCGTTTTGACAAACCGATAAGATTAATTTTGCCTTGACAAAAATGAAAAAACTGTAACTCTCAAGATATTCTTGATATCTTGGGAATGTTTTTTACAAAAAATAAAGGTCAATAATAGCAGATAAAAAAGGTATTTTATATAAAAGAAGGATCCCTGCAGACTCCACAAATTGATAAAATGGCGTGGTGCGATACGCTTCAAACAAAAAGGTAGACGTACTTAGGTAGGTACGTGAGCGCACGCCCCCACTGTTTCTATAGGTACAAAAGTAAAGTAAAGACACCTCTTTGAACTTCTAACCGCCTAGTACTCTTGATTAAAATTCTATTCATTGTTAAGAAAATTGACGTTTTTTCTTTATTATCTGTGGTTTGAATATTTTTTACTTTTACTTTCGATATGGGAATTTGAAAATTTTTGATTTTTGTACAATTATTTTTTAGCTGTCTTGTACATAGCTTATGTAAAAACTAAGGTATATCCTGAGATTTTATATAACTGGCATTGTTAAAGCAAAAGTTCAAGACATAGACATAGACACATATAGTTTTTAAACTTATGAGTAAAACGTTAACATTATTTCGTCAGACACAAAGCCCTTGCAGCACAAGCTACGATATCACTCACGTTCGCCGCCACATGGTCGCCCACGTTTTATCTCTTTGCATTTCTGATTGCCTGGTACTTGTGATCCTATTAGTATTGATTAATTTCTGGTAATCCACTCAAACAGCTATTATCCCTGTGTTAAAAATATGGGTTCGTAAAGGCTCAAGCTGTTTTTTAGTTTATAGGTACATAAACTTTATAAAATTGGTATGTATGAAGTTTTCTTTTACTATTTGAACAAAGTAGAAATAAATACAAAAATTGTTCACATCATGTGCTTACGTTGCCGCGTTGGTTTTTTTTTACAACGGTTGATATTGTTACCTGGCATTGTTGCCAGTTGATCTCAAAGTCAAAAGTCAAATAAAGTTTCTTATGGATGCTGCAATCCTGGTAATCGTCATATCATTTTTTGGAATTCTACCTGCTTGAAACCCTGTTACTTAATTTTTTGTTCAACTTTTTAACCTTTGATCTTAATAAAAAAGTTAAAGCGATGGGTTTTTAATATTTTTTTTATTTTTACTGTGTGGCAAGGACTGTTGGCTACAGTTAGAAGAATTTTAAAGGAGTTCATAAGATTGTAAGTCCAAGATGTTCACGAAAAATGTAATAAGCTTTACTGTGTGGTGTGAGTGGGACGCATAAAAGAAAAGGAGTTGATGAGTGATAAGGAATAAGTCCAAAAAATGGAAGATTTTCTTCCTTTGAATTTCGAATGAGATGCTGATCTAAATAAAAGTAGAAAGTCTTAATTTGCTAAATGAAATAGTTTCACATTATTTTAAAAGCATTTTATGTAATAAGCATTTGTTTATCGCCCATAAAACTGCTCATAAAAGCATGCAATGTAAACAATTCATGCACCCTATCTATTGTCCCCTTTAGATTCCATTATCCAATCGTCACGCATTCTCCAAGCCCGAGACGCGACGGCGACGTCAAGGCGCCCAGTTCCCTAGTTTACAATAGATTCCACTTCCCACTGTTTCTGTACGCCTAGTACTTCAAAATGTGTTACGGTATTGTGCTCATGTGACGTAACTTTGCACTATTTACATCTCCTTGCATGTCTTGGTTGCCTGGTAGTTGTGATACCGTGTGAATAGTTTGTAGTTCGTGATAGTTTGCGTAAAATCTGCTGATGTGTGGACTTTGAATTCATTGTAAACACATGTGTGTGGGGTATTTTATGTGTGGGTGCACATAGTTCGGTAGGAACTTTTGAAGAAAATAAATAGCAACACGTTTATTTTACTATTTATTGACCACAAAAACACCCAAGTTTTGTTGCAGATCGATTGTTTTCATATTTAATCACTTGTCATCTTTGTAGATCACATTGCCATTGTACCACGCCAATTCTACTAACAAAACAATCAAACTACACGATTATGTAAATAATAAATACAGATGTAGTAATGAAATAAATTGCCCCAAGATCATCTTCCTACAAGACCATGCAGAATTAACAATATTAACATTCTCAAAATGTGCGTTAAATTCTCCTTAACAAATAAACATCGAATCCCCAGCCTAGCGTATACTCTCCTGCTGATAGC